CTCCTGTTTTATATATTATGCGAAGAATTTAGAACTCATATTGGTTTGCACAAGTATCCTGGAGAAAAAAATTGCTCTGTGTATATTTCTTGGAAAATAAGACAATAGTATTTCTCCTTTGCAATAGCAGTTATAACAGATGTGAAAATATACTTTAATAGGATTATACAAGAAATCATGGATGCATTTCGAATGTTAGATATTGCTGCTATAATCAAATGATTTTATATTGACCTTTTTATCATGATTCCTCCCTATCAAGCACTAAAAAGTTGAACCATTATACTTTATATCTGTAATGATATTATGAAATGTCCCCTCAAACATTCCAGCTGATAATTTTTTGAGTCATTGACTTCATTTTATATTTAAAAAATTATGGAATATCATCTGTTGTTATATTCTAATTAAAACTGTGCATAATGCTTTGGAAAAATGGGTCTTTTATGGAAAAAAACTGGGATAACTGATTTCTATGGTTTTCAAAGCTGTAATATATAATATACTAAACCAACAAAAAATAATTTTGGAAATTTCATTATTTTTGATACTTCTTTGGTCCCAAATAACTGTCCAGTTCACTGTATCTACACAAAGACACTCAACTACAATTACTCTTGAACAATATGGGTTCAAACTGTGCATGCCCACTTATATGTAGATTTCTGAGAATAAATGCACTGAAAACTTTTGGAGATTTTTGACAATTTGAAAAAACCAGCAGATGAACTGCATAGCCTAGAAATATTTTTAAAACTATGAAAAAGTTAGGTATGTCACGAATGCATAAATATATGTAGATACTAGTCTATTTTATCATTTACTACCATAAAATATACACAAATCTATTCTAAAAAGTTAAGACTTATCAAAACGTACACAAACACGGATTATACATGGTAGCATTTGCAGTTGATGAAAGAAAAACTTCAGCCAAATTAAATTTAAAGGAGTTTAATTGAGCAATGAAGGATTTGCGAATCATGCAGCCCCCTGAATTACAGCAGATTCACAGAGACTCCAGGGATGCCTCGTGGGCAGAACAAATTTATAGACAAAAAAGTTAAAGTGACATTCAGGAATCAAAATTGAGATACAGAAACAGCAACATTGGTTACAGCTCAGCGTTTGACTTATTTGAATAGTTTGAACACTCAGCAGTCTATGAGTGTATGAAGTATGGCCACTAGGATTGGCCAACATTGAGCTATTGTTATGGGTGCATACTATTAAGTTAGGTTTTCAATTTTGTCTGACTACTAAGCTAGGATACAGTTCATCCAGAAGGACTCAAATATAGAAGTTTGGAGTCCTTCTCAGGCAGTATTTAATTTGCTTCAGCGATTTTTCCCTTTTGAGCATTTTCTCGATTTTGAGAGATTGACCAAAATCTTAGTCACTGATGTGGCTATCACTATTGTAAATGGACTTATATGGTTTTGAAACCCACTGGAAAACAGTAGAACAGTGGGTTTTTCAAGGAGGGAATAAGGACTCAGCAGAGAGAGGGTCCCTCCTTAAGCCGGAACATCCTGTTTTCAGGAGAAAAAACAAAATCTGGTCTGTTCTAGGATTTATGTGTTTTCCTGAAGCCTTAGTTTGATTATGTCACATTTAGCATGAGTGCCTCCATTTTAGTTTGGTTTGGTTTGTTGGGACCTAGTGCATAAGCTCAGTCCAAAATAATGGCCCCTCATAATTTTGTTTAAAAAAATTCTCCCTTTCTGGCCAGGTTCTCACTTAGGTACCTATCTGAGCAGTTTTTTATTTTTTCTTTACATTCAAACTGTTACTGGAGAGCAGGTCTGTGGTTGTTTCTTTTCTTTCCTTTTCTTTTTTTTTCTGAGAATATACCAAGTAAGGAGAGCAGGTTTTTAATGCAGATGAATGTGCTCTATTCTGTGGGGAGTGGTATAGTGTGTGTTGAGGGGGGGAATGCCACAAAAGACATATATTAGTAAGGAAGAGAAGCTAGCACCAGGATTTAAGGCTGAAAGGGATAAATAACTCTACCATTTTGTGGAACTCCAGTTGAGTTTGTGATCACAACTGCCCTTATCTATAAATCTGCTAACTCTTGAGCCTTGAAGGGAAAAGATAAACACCAGCAGCCAGTCTTCTGATTGTACAACAAGAAGGTCTGGGCAAGAACAGTTTTCCTGGATTAGTTTAATCAATACTCTGTCATTAAGTCAGAAAATACCTTGCCAGTAAGGGACTGCCTTTTAAAGTTCTTTTCATATTGGACAGTGCCCCTGGCCACCCAGAGCCCCATGAGTTAACCATCAAAAGCACTAAAATGGTATACTTGTCCCCCAAACATGTTTCTAATTCAGCCTATAGATCAGGGGCTCATAAGGACCTTTAAGGCTCATTATACACGTACTGTATGGAAAGGATTCTCAATGCTATGGAAGAGAACTCCAAGAGAGGGCCATCATGAAAGTCTCGAAGGATTACACCATTAAAGATGCCATCATTGTTGCAGAAAAAGTGGCGAAAGCCATTAAGCCTGAGACAATAAATTCTGCTTGAGAAAACTGTGTTCAAAGGTTGTGTGTGACTTCACGGGATTTCTGACAGAGCTAATCAAGGAAATTATGAAAGATATTGTGGATATGGCCAAAAGAAAAAAAGGTGTGGGATAAAGGATTTCAAGCAATAGATCTCACCAAAATTCAAGAGTAGACACCACGCTAGAGGAATTAACAGATGACCCAATGGAGAAGAATACTTCTAAGCCAGGATCAAACAATGAGGAAGAGGACGCAGAAGCAGCAGTGCCAGCAAACAAGCCGACATTAGACAGTCTGGCAGAAGAATTCTGACTATTCAGGACTAGTGTTGACTTCTTTTATGACATGGACCCTTCTGTAGTATGATACAGGCACTAAAACTAAAACAAATGGTAGAAGTAAGAAGGGGTACCATAGAGAAACAAGAAAAAAGTCAGACAAAAATTAAATATGTTTCTGAAAAGTTACACTGACTGCCTGTCTCTTCCACCTTCCCTTCGACCTCTTGTATCTCTTCTTCGTGAAAAGAAGCTGTGCATCAAACATAAAGTTGTTAGCAGTGGTGGTTTATGAGAATTTCTCAAGAGCTAAAAGCGTATGCTTATCAATAGACCGTGCAGCTGGCGGGAGTGGGCTTAGCAAGGAGCCTGCAAGTCTGGTTACATTCCAGTGCTTCAGGGGAGTATTATGTCCTTAGGCACTATGTTTAGAATATCAGAGCTTAGGTCACTCTGTTTCTGGGAACATGCTGATAGTAGAGGGGCCTTCCTCCCCAGAGGCCTCCATGGTCTTCTACAGTTTAAAGTGGAAGTGATTTAAGGTGTTCCTGATTTCTTTTATACATTACTTATAACCAGTTTATATAGGCACACTGTAAACCCTTTCTCCATTGCTGCTTCCTCCAACATAGAATACGTGTTAATCAACTGTGTTGTTGGTAAGGCTTCCAGTCAACAGCAGGCTATTAGTAGTTGAGTTTAGGGGTGTGAAAAGTTATGCATGGACTTTTGACCATTTGAGGGGACAGCACCCCAAACCCCTACATTGCTCAAGGGTCAACTATATTCAGTATTACGTAAGTATATATGGGAAATGATCAGGAGGATTGTTTAATGAGTGATTCTAGAGGCCCAGATTTCCTAGGAATAAGCTAGCTGGCATGAAGACTCCTCTCAGTTGGAAAAGCTTTACACATTCTCCAGGTCTCAGGGCTAGCGTCCCCAGCATTCCCAGCACTCCCCAAAACAGCTGGGTCAAACTGCTTAGCTTCTGGGCCCAAATATCCATTTCCATCACCATTCCCAGACAACCTCTCCCATACACACATTACGCAATCACTCTTCTCCTTATTAACCAGGATGAGGACCCTCCACAAGAAAAAGTCCTGTTAAATCTAGCTCAGCTCCACCTAAGCATGCCTCTGCACCTGCCGTCCCTCATGTGCAGGAGTCACTGTCTTTTCCAAGTGACACTTGCTGGCTTTTACCTCAGTTTACTAATTCACTGAGTGAAATAGGGAAAAATCACTTCCTCTCCTTCTGAGCCAGTTTCTCCTTCTGCAGAATAGATTTGATAGTCTAAAAATCTCTTTCAGCTTTAATTTTTATCAAATGCTTTTTGTGTCCCTAATAAGGTGTGATCATAATCATGTTTCATGATGATATCATGGAATCATACATAATTATATTTATAAAGTTATACTATTTTATGTATTCATATATTATATAATTATATATTATTGTATCATATATAAATATAATTATACATTAACATAATATTTAATATAACTCAGTATTATATCTCTTCCACCTTCCCTTCAACCTTTGACTTGATATAATTAATAATATATAATTAATATATAATTGATTATATTAAATATTAAATAATATATAATTAACTAAGTATGCTATAATTAATATAAAATTTATGTTAAAATATGATTATATATAATACATAATTATATATTGTGATTATTTTATATAACTATAATTATATAAATTTAATTGCTACAATTTTTTAGCCTCCTTCCATATGTCAAAACATTTTTTCTCTTTCACATCCCCCACCACCATTTGCCTAATAATAGTAATTCATTCTTCAAGCTTGTCTGAGGTTGGTCGTCAATTTCTTCAGAAAGCCTACTCCAACTTTTCTTAGCCTGAGATAGATGCCCCTACTGTTCTCTCAGAGTTCCCTGTATTTTCCCTGTTACAACACTTATTACGTTACATTGGAATTGCTTGTTTAGTTGTTGATTACTCCAAAAAAGAGTAAAAACTCCATGAAAAGAGGGTGATCAGTTGCTTTGTTGCTCTGTATATTGCCAGCACCCAGAAGAGTGTCTGGCACATAGTAGGCACACAATAGATTAAATAATTAATGCTAGGCCCTTTAAATTAAAAAAAAAACTAGCACAGTAATACAACACCAATGTTAACTCAAGGAAGTTAGTTGCACTTCCTTTCTTCAACTTAGCTATAAAAAGGAGGACAAAAACTCGAGTGAAACTGACTGTGCTGGAACAGTGCTGTGCTTTTCCACAGATTAGACCCCAAGAGAGATGGCTCAACACCACGTATGGATCTTGCTCCTTTGCCTGCAAACCTGTGAGTTCCAACCCTTGCTGATCCCCTCCTAGTTTTCCGTAAAGTTTTAAAACTTGCCCTTAAGAAAGACTGAACTGTTCTTTTGATGTTTGTAATAGAACTGCTGAGTCTCAGTATTTACTGTACTCAGCAGGATCCAACTGGCTGGGGAAAGACTTAAAATCCAAACCTAAGTGGTTTTCAGCTTTAAAGTCTAGATTTCTGAATTTTATCTGGTTTTGGAGAGCTCAGTTTCCAAAGGTTTGAAGCAAATCCTTCTCAGAGGAGCCAGAACGTGGTAAACTCACCCACAAAGCCTGGCAAAGGAAAGATCATCGAAAAGCTTGAATGACTTAAAAGCAGTTTCTTCTTGGCATTCAATTGTGGTGGTTTTTGAGACAGAGATGTCTTTCTTAATTATAGTTGATTGCTCCATCAGGTTAGAGTGATGCTTGACTCATTGTTATCCTTGGGTAGGTCTCATCTCTATAAACTCCCTTTATTTTCAAAATACAGTTGGAGACATGACGCTGCTTTTATCCTTCCGAAACTCTAAAACAAATGAGGAAGAGATTACTATCCCATTTTACACAGTCTCAAAAGAATAGTTGGAAAACTTGAATTAAAAACCCTATTTTTCTTACTTACGGCATAACAGTAAACTAAAAGAACAACCTGAATATTGATTGTTATTAGTACAAAGAAAACTGTGTAACATTAACACAGGTCAAATAAAATTTTTGGAGCCTCTGCCAGCTGCTCTAGAATGGCAAACAGAAAATGCAACTAGGTGAGGAAAAGTTGGTACTGGGAATGTCCTTAATCTTCCAGAGAGAGACTAGACAAGGTGGCATTTGATACCACTCAATTTTCAAAACATTTTACAATATTTTATGCCTACATTCTTATGTTACCCATATGAAAACCATTGAGATGGGAAAGATAGATATTATTCATTACATTATGCAAGAAAAATAAAGCAAGATTTAGAGGTTAAAAAATTCACGTGAAATTTCAATATCTAAATTGGTAGAGGTGGAAATAGACGTTGGTTTTTCTAATCTTAAGGTGAATCCCAATCTCATTGGTTCTTCTTTCTTCCACCTGACCTCCTCACTCATTGTTTTCAAATTCTTGATGCAAAAGGTTAATACCTGCTAAGATAAAAGGTAGCTCTAGGATACACTTCTTTTATCTACTAAAACTGAAATAAATTGTCAAATCGGCTAGTAGTGAATTATTTTGTTTATGAGTTTTGTGACCCTGAGTAAGTTATATTCCTCCTCTGACTTTTGTTTCAGCTTCAAAATGGGGAAGGTATTAATGTAGTAGAATTGTTTTGAGAATCAAAATGATGATAATGATAATACACATACAACACTTGGCATAGTAGCTGAATATATCGTTTAACAGACGTTAGCTAAGGCTGCTGTTTTTCACCCTCACTTTCCACGCATTCTGAGGAAGAGCCGTGGCTTTACTGCACGGAGATCCTGGGCAGGACTCCTCTGTCTGGGAATGGTCCAAGGAACATAAACAGGAGAAAAGGTGGTGGGAGTTTGAGTTTACGTGTTGGTTGTTGGAATTCTGGAAAAGGAGACTAGTAATGAGATAGCCATTTAATCAAGGATCCATGAAAGAGGGAATGGGAGTTTTCTTTGTTTGTTTTTGTTTTTTAATGAAAGTAAAGCCAGGAATACTTTTTACATACTGTCCACTTTTACCGAATTATCTGTTTGCCTGTTAAGGATTATTCTGCAAACCTTTTCTGAGCACAAAAATAACCCTGAATTCCTCCTGCTGCTGTTTCTGTTAGAGGGAGTCCTTTATATTCAGTATTAGGCTTCGGAGTCTACATTTTATGCATTTTCCTGGAATTCAGAGCCGTTGAAGAGGCTGAGAAGCAGTGGAGAGATGCAGGGAGAAATCCCCGTTTCCCCCCAGAAATCACCAACATAAGGGAAGTCTGAGTGTGCAAACTCATGACTGTTCCATGTTGGAAAAGTTTTCTGAGTCAAAATTCACAGTCTTATGCTCTGATCTCAACTTTCTAATCATGATTTTGGAAACACCATGACTCTGACTGTCTCTCCACATACCGTAGGAGACACTCCCACTCTGGGGGTAGGAGATGGAGCAGTCTACAAGTTTTAATCCTTGCCCATCCCCTCTGCATATTCTGTCTCACACTCTTAATTCTTCCTTTTCTCTGCCCTGTTCTTATTTCTATTTCTTCAATTTCCTATCTTATCTCCCATCAATAATACTAATAAATAATCATTTATGCAGCAATCACTGCATATTCGGCATTACTCTAAGTAGTCTACAGTTATTATTTTGTTTAATCTTTACAACACCATGAGATACATACTATTAATATGTGCATATACAGACGAAAGCGTTGATACACAGAGTCTCAAAGGTCATTTAACAAAAAGTGAAGGAAGTAGAATTTAAACTTCCTTCACAGAAAGGAAGCATTCATACCCAGAGAGTCAAAGGTGAAATATACAGATAAAAGCATTGGTACACAGAGAGTCAAAGGTCATTTAACAAAAAGTGAGGCAAGTAGAATTTAAACTTCCTTCACAGAAAGGAGGCATTCATACACAGAGAGTCAAAGGTGAAATATACAGATAAAAGCATTGATGCACAGAGTCAAAGGTCATTTAACAAAAAGCGAAGGGAATAGAATTTAAACTTCAGTGTCCTTAGATTTAACCTCTGAATCATGCTGCATCCATCCACTTTGATGCTGAAGTGGAGTAAATTACTCTCCCTACTATTAATGTTGATCACATTTGGGAATTTGTCAGTGAAAAGTGATGATTTATTTATTTCCGGCAAGACAGGATTGTTGGGATAGAAGCTGCACCTGTCTCTATACCCGCCCACAGAGGAAGAAGGAGCTGCCGGCAGGTCCTTGCCAATAACAGAAATTTAGGCAGGCCAGTGAGGCAGAATACCCAAGCAAATAACCATCTCCAGACATGTTTCAAAGACCATTCATTTTAATATTATTCAAATGTGAGTTGAATTAGTTTCTTTAAACAAATAAAAGTCCAGTATCAACATAATCTCGATGGCCTATTGGATGTTGAACATAGTCGTGGGCATTTTGGCAGTGAAGACTTAAAAGTCCGAGAGGTGAGTGGGCCCACTGTGAATAACTGGACCCCTTTGTTGTAGTCAATGTTCAAGTACATGCTAATAGACGGCAGCAATGATAAAATGGTGGTTGGTGATGATCCCGTTTGCTTTGAGAGAGAGAGAGTGTGTGTTTGTGTGTATGTGTGTGTGTGTGTGTGTGTGTTCAAGGAACTGATTCAAGCTAACCTAAATCCCAATAAAGATGATTTAAAGTAAAAATTCCAGGGGAAAATAAGGTACTATTGCGTGGGGTGGTAGGTTCCTTTTTCTTAAAATCTCATGATCAAGGACTTTCCGTCACTTTGAAGAATGACACAAAACTCCTGGCTGTCCAACCCTGTGCTTCCCCTTTCCCTCTATGTCCCTTCACTCTGTGTGAGCAGTTATAATGAACTCTCTTTTGGGTGCCACATGCTAAAGCTACATCTGGTCACTCTCCCGGACCTGCAATACTCAGCGATGTTCCACCCCCACTTTTTGATTCTAGGAGGCAGTGGGTAGACAAGAGGAGGGGAAGTTTAGCTAGTCCCACACACACCAAACACACACACGCTCACACACACACACACACACACACACCCGAAATGCTTATTTGGAGGATGCTAAGAAAGTAAGGGGGTGGAGGTATCTGTTAAGCAACAGTACACTCTTCCCCATTTCCACTCTTATTAATAGCTATTTGCTGACTTTAACATCTTCCCAATACCCCAACTCTTATTTTTCCCTTCGCAGTTGTCTGAGGTGTTAGTTTAGTCTCTTTGAAGATGTTAATTTGTTTTAAATAGCAAATACATATGGTGCCTAGTATACGCCAGGCACTATTTTTAAGATGTCTACAAATATTAACTCATTTAACCCTCATAATGTTTTTATGTGGTCAAATATTGTGCTACTATTACCTTCGCTAATGTGCTAATGTTACCTTCATTTTAAAGTTGAGGAAACTGAGGCACAGAGAGGTTACTGACTTTCTCTGCCATTGATCTGAAGTTCTTACATCGAGGGGTCTTCAAGATGAAGACAAGGCCTCTTGTCTTTCTTGACTTTCCCTAGGGTTTATGGCAGGATTCTAGCCCAGGCAGGCTAGTTCTCAATCACTAACTCACGGTGCCACACAGGCAACTCCACAAGGCAAGGCTCCCCTTGGGACCACTAGGCTCTTCCCCATTAGTACACACACTTGAGAGCACTCTCATGTCGTCTAATCCTCATAATTCCTCAAAGCGGCAGGATGGCTCTGTTTTATTTCTTTTACCAACTAGAACCCTGAGACTTAGCAAGTAAGTGATGTTCATGGTCATTTAGCTAGTAGACAGCAGACCCTTGACTCAAATGTGTTTCCTAATCCCTAGTTAATGACACTTTTACTAACTATGCTGTGGGTCCCCATTCTGTGAATCTAAAAAAATTTCTTCACAAACAGTATAGAATTTTGGAGTAGAAAGAAGTTACAGTTAGCCATCTGCCTCTTCTTAATAACCAGTTTAGATCCTTCATCTTTCATATCAAGACTCAGAGACCAGTAAAGAGTCCTCTCTTGCCCTTACTCTTTTTCTCGCTGTGATTTTCTGCCTTGTTTTCTGTTGTTGGAAAAGAATGATTGAGTCAGTTGCAAAAAAAAAAAAAAAAAATTCTTGTGCAGTAGCACAATCACGGTTCACTGCAGCCTTGACCTCCCAGGCTTAAGTGATCCTCCTGTCTCAGCCTCCCAAGTAGCTGGAACTACAGGCACATATCACCACGCCTGACTAATTTTTTTTTTAATTCTCTTTTCTGTAGAGATGACATCTCATTATGTTGCCCAGGCTGGTGTTCCTTTTTTCAACAAACATTTAATAATCATTCATTAGTTGTTGGAGGAACAGTAGTGA